CGTTGGTGTGCTTATGCACACCCCCTACAGACCTCTTAGGAAAGGAGTGAGGTCAACAGTAGAAAGTCTAAGGTTAAAGTTTTTGGGGTTTGGGGAAGAAACCACAGAGTCAGGTAGAGTATTCCATTGACCACTCTGTTGCTGAAGTCGTATTTCCTGCAATCAAGTTTGATGCGATTAACCTTGAGTTTGTATCTACTGTTTGCTCTAGTGTTGTTATGTTTGAAGCTGAAGTATTCATTGACAGGTAGGACATTGCAATGTATGATTTTTTATACTATACTTAGATCGGACCAAAGGCGGCGTAGTTCTAGGTTTCCTAGGTCTAGAATTTCGAGTCTGATCGCATAAGGTATTCTGCAATGAGTAGAGGAGTGGAGAACTCATCTTGTTAAATATTTGTGGACTTTTTCAACTGTGTTAATATCAGATATGTAATGTGGGTTCCAGACTGATGAGCTGTATTCGAGTATTGGTCGAGCAAATGTTTGTATGCTCTAGTTATTAGTGTAATATTACCAGGGAAAAAGCTACGTAAGATTAGGTTAACAACTCTTAACACCTTTTTGGCTATGTAGTTACAGTGGACTCTAGCACTTAGGTCATTAGAGATGAGTACTCCAAGATCCTTGACAGAGTTTGGATCATCAACAAGGTCTTGACTATTCAGCCTGTATTTTATTTTCTGATTATTATTTTTTTGCCAATATGTAGGACAGAGCATTTATTTTTGAGATTTGAAGTTGCCATTTGTTTGACCATTCTGATACATATTCAAGGTCTTTTTGAAGGTAGCAGTATTGTCTGTGGTGTTGAATAGCTTTACATCATCAGTGAAGAGAACGCAGTTGCTCTTGATATGATCACAGAGGTCATTTATGTAGAGTATGAAAAGTGTTGGTCCTAGAACACTGCCTTGGGGGACACTACTGTTGACAGGTACAGAATTTGATAGGACGCTTCAAATTTTGACCATTTGTTGTCTGTTTGACAGGAATGCTTCTATCCAGTAATGCAGGTGTCCAGAGATACCATCAGATTTTAGTTTTAGTAGTTTGTTGTGTACCACTGAATCAAAGGCTTTACAGAAGTCTATGTATATTACACCTATTGCTTTGCCCTGATCGAGTTGTGTAGTCCATGTGTTTTTGCAGTGTAAGAGTTGCAGATTGCAGGATAGTTTTTTTTCTGAAACCAAATTGTTTATTAGAGAGTAGGTTGTTTGTTTCTAAGTGGAGGATGATGGATTGGTTAATAATTGATTCCATGACTTTACAGGTGATGCAGCATAAGGAGATTGGTCTGTAATTTTCAACTAGGCTGGGGTCTCCCTTTTTGAAGATGGGGATGACTGTGGCTTGTGACCATAGTTTTGGCAAGAAGACGATCCTGAAAGATTTTTCAAAGATTATGCTTAGAGGTTCGGCTATGGCAGTGGGTAGCTTTTTTAAGAAGTAGGCACATATTCCGTCTGGTCCAATAGCTAGAGATGGTTTTAGATTGTGCAGTGCTTTTTCAACAATGTCTGACTGTCTCAAGGTTGACTCAACCTTCCATCCTTTCAAGGTTGGTAAAATGAGGACCCAGACTCTTGGCGATGATATGCTGACTCTGTAAATCACCCAGACAGTGCTATAAAGCACTGTGAAGCAGTATATAAATCTAGTGCTATTGCTAGTCCTTCCCAATTTGATGATGTTTGATGGTGTTAAAGGTATAGACACAAAGGATGTAAGTTATTCCAAGTAAAGTTGCCTTTTGTAATTGACTGATGTTAATTTTGTCAATCCTGATGATATTCAGGTAATGCTCTATGTGTTTTGTATTGAAAGTACCTATTATTATTGGTACCATTTTGCTTTCTTTTGCCACATTCATTCTACTTCTATCTGCAGACCTTTGCATTTTGGGATCTTCTCCAGTTCTTTCACTTCTATTCTGTTGTCTACAGATACTCCACATGAACTATCCACACATTTTGCCATTCTTATCAAGAATTGTTATACCTAGGGTGTTATATAGCAGGTACCTGTCTGTTTGAATATTAATGTCCCAGAGAACATTAACTTCTTCATTTTCTATTACTTTGTCCATTTTGTAGTCCCACCAGTTCTTGCTTGCAGGCAAATGGTATCATTTTATTACTATTTCTTCCACCGGTAGGGCAATGTTATAGAGAAGGCAGAAAAAAAAATATCAGCAGGTCATGTTTGTGTCAGAGTTAGATGCAAGAGGATATGGTCAGATTTTGCATGCAATGAGGAGACAGTTAAAGGTGTAATCCAGTGGATTTCCTTTCTGGAAAGATTGATACTTATTTCACAACTGCCAAGCCATGTTAGGGAGAAAAAAAATCAGGCACGTTGTGCTGGTGTTACTGAGTTATCAGTTGGAATAAATTTACACTTAATATTTCTTCTCACAACACCTAAACAGCAGTAACAACAGGCCATGCACAAGCTCAATTTACACTGCACAGCTTTTCACTTCAAAAATAGAAAGTAATTTTGCTACCACAAGAAAACCACAAGAACCAAAACTTCTCAGCTTCCTTTCACTAATGCAGAAATCTGCTTTCTTCCTATTTTCAATGACGTTTATAGTTGCAGCACAATTACATCTCTATGAATGTAGAGAAAAACCTTTCCCCATCTGCCAATAGACCAACAATTTATGTTAATCATGTATATTATATACATAAATTTTACCTATCTATCTCTCTATCTACAGTATCTATTTGATAGCTTTCATGTTGGCTGAACTCTGTCAATTATATTTTATTTCAATAATTTTTGCTTTCAAAATAAAACATATTCTTCCCCATAGTTGGCCTGGTCGGTCGGTGTGTCTGTCTGTCTTTCTTGTCCCATCCATCCATCCATCCATCCATCCATCTATCCATCCATCCATCTATCATCTAATCTTCCAAGTTATCTCTGCAACAAAGAAACCACAGTCATATTTGGAATAGATATATTAGAGTATAGATAGATATAATAAAGAACCCATGATTCATTGGATCATTGTTTCAGAGATACTTCCTTACCTAAAAAGGGAAATAGATATGCAGAAAAGGAGTTGGAGCAAAAGTAACTTCCAATTTCCTGCTGGCTTCCCCAATTTTCTTGTGCAAAGCTGACGGAGAGCATCAGAAATCATTCCTCCCTCCCTCCCTTCCTGCATTTTGATTTTTTTCCTGTTCTTGAAAACATTTTAGTATTTTACTTAACTGTTTTTTGTTTTTAAGACAAAAACTCATGTGCAATAAATAATTAATAACTAATAGCAGAAGAATAATGATTTATGAATATATATCATATTGTTGATTGGAACCTAAATACTGGAACCTGACTCTATACAAAATTTGTCAGCTTAACTGATTTTTAAGTATATACACACTTATATAGACTTCCTCATAACAATGGTCAAAAGAAAAGTTTCTGCCATGCCGGATGGTTCAAAGTCAGTTTGCAGCACAGACTGTATTTAAAAGAGAGGAAAAAATTGCAGAATCACCAATATATTTACTTGTTTCAGAAACAAGTATTTAAACAGGAAGTTCATATAAATATATATACTTGCTTGCTCAATTTTAGAAACCAAAGGCTGATTACTTGCTAGTAAGTTAATAACAAAGGTATGTTCACAAGGGTGGGATTCTACCGGTTCTGTCCACCTCTGTAGAACCGGTAGTTCTGAAGAGCAGCAGACAGAGAGCATACATAGAACTGGTTCTATGTCTGCTGCTATTTTGGCCCACCCGCCTGCCCGGGCTGTTACCTGACCTTTATTTCCTGTTTTTTCAACTGCAGCTGTTTTGCGTGACACAGCTACAGTTGAAAAAGTAGGAAAAAAGGGGCTTTTCTAACCACTGCGCACATGCACGTAGCGCTCAGCTATCTGGGCAGCTCAGCAGGTTGTAAATTGCACTTGTGCGACTTGTGCGCATGACACAGAGCAACAGAACCTGTAGTTATACCATACCTTTATGTACAACTCTCTCAGGACGTCCATTTTAAAGACCTCATTTTACCTTGCTCTTTTTATATGAGTAGCAAAGAAACTATTAGCATATCTTTAAAAGCAGTGTAATAATTATACAAAAATAGTCTAGTGGGAAATGATGAATACAAAATAAAAGGTTTTCTACATAACATCAAAAACATGTTAGTAGTAGAGAGGCATGAATATTCTGTCCACTTGACAAATGTCAATGGCAAAAGATATCAAAGGGAAGTTTACAGTAGAAAAAGAAGTAAAAGATTGTGGAATTATAAACAGTCCTGCAGTTAAGAAAACTCATCAGTGAAAAGGTGAAGGAAGACAAGAGTATCATCAATTATGAAGATACATGTATTTGGAAGTGATGCTTTTAAAAAAAAACCAACCCAACTTGAGTGCAACTCAAATAATTATTAACAGATTTGTTTCTGCTGCTAAACTGCACCCCACCATTTGACTAAATATTTGTACAATTGATTATCTGGTTAAATCATGAGGTCAGATACCAGATACTAACACCTAAAATACTGCATCCCATACACTAAGTCAAATAAATAGTAATGGTCAAAATGCTAGAAATATGAATACATATTATTACAAAGCATCACTGAATAGAATTAAAGGTTTTTACTCCTAAGAATACTACATTTATCATTATTTAATAACTAGATTCATATAATATAACAAAACACAATATTTACATCCATGTATGACACTACGCTCATACAAAGCATACATATTATTGCACTAACAATCTGGTTCATATAAAAAGTTAAGATGTCTGCTGAGATCTGTCCACATTTGAATCCAAACCTTCTCAACCTTATTCCTACTGAACCAATGTCAATATGAGGACACAATTTACAGATAAGTAAAGCTTATTCCTTTAAATAAGCCTTAACTGCACATGATTAATATGTAGAATTACCATATGAACTTGCATGTTCTGCTTTTGAAAAACTTGAATAGTTTAGATCGAAAACAATTTGGTTCCTCACCTCCGGAATGTGGTGGTGGCCCACAAAGCAACACCATTCCCTGTCCTTGTCGGACTGAAACTGTACTCCTTGTCCTGGTTTTGAAATTTTCAAGATCTGTTAGGGACAGACAAATAAATATATGATTACATGTTATTACAATCAGTTTCAAAATAAGAAGGGCAGAATATTGTTTACACTGAATTACATCTGTGCACAATGTGGGAGTAGATCTTCTTTCCAGAAGGATGTCCTCTAATCCAGGGTCTTCTCTCTGATCAGTTCATTTCAACTGGCTTCTGTGATAAACAGTTATGTTTTCTGCCTCATTTGATCACTAAGTTTAAAGTATTTTGTAAACATACCAGTATATTTTGATGGGATCTTGAAGACATCATGTTTAATTCAGGAAATCCAGAATTACAATATTCCCTATTATAGAAATGTTTCAGTATTTTCTAAATTTTTCTATTTTTTTTCCAGATCACAGTACTCTGCGCAAAATTTATTTCAGATATCCTCTTCTCATTGGCCTTCATTTTTTATTTTTCTCATTGGGCTAGATCATTATTTCTTTGTATTCAATTGTTGAATATTTGCAACACGTAAGACATCTTTTCTTCCAATGGTCCTGCATCTGGCTGGCTTTGATTGCTCAGCCAGCAATCCTGAATCCTGTAGCACATTTATCAATAGATGTCTTGGAACGCCAAAAGCTAGCGTGATCCTTGTTGACCCAGGTGATTACTAATTTCTGGGTTTCTGTAAATTGTCATCTCCTCATATTATTTCTGAGAGAGAGATTCTTCATCCAGCTCCTCTGATGAGACATGTCATGTATGAACTTCTGGCATAGCTCTTATCTTTTTTCAGAGCATACAAGTAGCACACTGAGGATAATAATATTGGCACACTGGCTGTCATACCAAAAATCTTAGACAGCACTTAGAAAATCTGTGCATTGACAAAATTTCTATCTGTCAATTGAAAAAGCCACAGTGCTTGGATATGCAGATATGTTATGCTGAATTATGAAATTCTAGGTTCTTGGGAAGAACGTGATGGGTATGGAGGCAAACACCAGCTAAAGAACTGGCAGCTGTCATGTCATATTTTTGTGACTGTAATAACAGGTGAATAAAAAATCCAAATTCTGACTAAACATCTGATTATCTGGGTGACCAATCATAATAATAACAACTCCTGTCTATCCCAGATCCTTGGGAAGGACTCAATAGATAGATAAAAATGCCAAATCCAATCTAAACATCTGTCTGTGAGACCAACCAAAATAATAAATACCACCAGCACTGACAAAATCACCATCAGTTGCATTACTTGGAACAGTTTACATCCTGCAACAATGCTTTTAACACACATAAGCAACAACATCTGCATATCCCAGGTGTTTGGGAAGGGCTTAATAGATAAAAATGCCAAATCCAGTCTAAGCATCTGGCTGACTATGCAACCAACAAAAATAAATATTCTCTCAATATTGTGCAAGATTGCATTATAGCTCTTGTCTAATTGCATAGTGATGATCTGGATATTGCTATTCAGAAGTTTCATGAATGCTCAATTCAAATTTACACTGTTTTATTAATTTGGGGATGTCTGAGAGTGGGATTATTATTTATCCTTGGGCACCAGGGTGTTATGTGTGATGGCTTTTCTGTATTTTAATTTTTGTAAGCTACATAGAGTCACTTGTCTGTGATGGGTGGCTATATAAATCATATATAAATTAATTTAGGATTAGAATAAATAAATTTAGAATCATTCTATTCAGCAGCAGATAAGGAATGTCTTCCACATAAAATTGCACAAGTGTTTGAAAGCATATCCCATGCCTTTTTCCTTTCTTAACTACATATTTGCTCTAGCAATTTCTAACAGAAGTGTATTTTCAGTATCACTGTCCATCTTTATTGACCTCTTCTATTCTATGAAGTTCTAGATGAGCTGTGATTAGTATAGAACAGTGATTTCATAACTGTCAAATGCAAGGTGTATATCAAATCTGAACTGGCTCATAACCCAACTCAGAAGCCAATTCAATGATAATAACTGGCAGTTTGGCAATTTCTATTGATGGACTTTTCTACTTCTTTCCCCACAAGAATATCCTCAACACATCAAAAATATAAGGATACCTTAGAAACCAAACAAAGCTCTGTTCAAGCTTCTAATTGAATATAATAATAGTAAATAGCAATTTAATCTACTTAGGTGTTATTAGCTATTTCAGCCTCTAATGTCTTATGTTGAATGTTTTTGTTGTTTATCACTTGAAAGTGGAACTCATAGAAAATTACCTTTCTGTGATGGTTAACGGGCTTATGAAAATGGTTATCTGTATATAGCAGAACTTTAAAAAGCCTGAAAATGAACACTAATGTCAAGTTAACTGCATATAAAAGAAAAGGTTGAAATTCAAGTTCCTTTGTGCTTTATCATCAGAAAATGGCCCCAAGAATTCACAGCCACAACAAAAAAGTTATGTGTTCATACTTTCGATCCATTGTAAGTTTGATGAGTTGATGCAGTTAGAAACCTGTTATACTACACGTATCTTTCCCACCTTTAATAACATGCAAGATGGTAAACTTGATATTCAACAACAATCTCCACTCCCCAACATTAGGTATTTGAAGAGATTTCTTCTCCTTCTTGTTGAGCATTAAGCTTATGGTTATTAATTGCTTAGGTTATAACTGGTGAACCAGCCCATGGCTCACCAGCCCATTGATCAGCAACCTGAGCTGCCAAGAAAATTCAAAGTAAGAATTTCTACAACTCAAGCAACTATCATATACAATAACTTAATTTTACATTTACAGTTAAAAAAACAGAGCATCCAAGCTATTGTTGCTGATTGCAAAATTGTTGTTCAGCCTAGCAGAAAACCCAGAAAACATACAAGAGATAAATATACCAAACAGCTGGAAAGCAATTATATAGTTACAAAGGTGAAATATTACAGTTTGATTTTCACCCCTTTCTATTTTTTCTTATTAAAAATTTATTAAAAATTGCCCTTATAATAACATCAAAAACCCACACCATCATTCCATGTACTTTCCCCCTCTGAACGAGAACATTTTGGTTTTTTTTTTAGAATTCACAATGGTTCTTTGCTTATAATTAATCACATACAAGGATATTAATGTGATCTGAAAATAGGGTCTCTAAGTTATGCTAATATGAATGCTGTAGCTGCATCTTGTTTTCTTTTGCAGAAAGAAGGTGGGTGGGTGGAAGCACAAACTGATTAATCTTTTACCTGCCAACTGCTCACTCAATGAAAAGATCTCCAACTCCCAAGCTTCATTTTTCCTCTGAGGCAATTTAATTTAATTTAAAGAGTTTTATAAGGAAAGAGGAGGCTTCCCCGCCCCCCATGACAATGTCCCAGAGGAAGGTAGGTAGATAAAATTGACCTATCTTTAGTTCAACTGACTCCTTTCTCTTCCTTATAGTACAGGTGAAACTCAAAAAATTAGAATATCGTGCAAAAGTTCATTTATTTCAGTAATGCAACTTAAAAGGTGAACCTAATATATGAGATAGACTCATTACATGCAAAACAAGCTAGTTCAAGCTGTGATTTGTCATAATTGAGATGATTGTGGCTTACAGCTCATGAAAACCCCAAATCCACAATCTCAGAAAATTAGAATATTGTGAAAAGGTTCAATATTCTAGGCTCAAAGTGTCCCACTCTAATCAGCTAATTAAACCGTAACACCTGCAAAGGGTTCCTGAGCCTTTAAATGGTCTTTCAGTCTGGTTCAGTAGGAATCACAATCATGGAAAGACTGCTGACCTGACAGTTGTGAAGAAAACCATCATTGACACCCTCCATAACGAGGGAAAGCCTCAAAAGGTAATTGCAAATGAAGTTGGGTGTTCCCAAAGTGCTGTATCAAAGCACATTAATAGAAAGTTATGTGGAAGAGAAAAGTGTGGAAGAAAAAGGTGCACAAACAGCAGGGATGACCGCAGCCTGGAAAGGATTGTCAAGAAAAGGCCATTCAAAAGTGTTGGGGACTTTCACAAGGAGTGGACTGAGGCTGCAGTCAGTGCATCAAGAGCCACCACACACAGACGGATCCTGGACATGGGCTTCAAATGTCGTATTCCTCTTGTCAAGCCGCTCCTGAACAACAATAATGTCAGAAGCATCTTACCTGGGCTAAAGAAACAAAGAACTGGTCTGTTGCTCAGTGGTCCAAAGTTCTCTTTTCTGATGAGAGCAACTTTTGCATCTCATTTGGAAACCAAGGATCCAGAGTCTGGAGGAAGAATGGAGAGGCACATACTGCAAGATGCTTGAAGTCCAGTGTGAAGTTTCCACAGTCTGTGTTGATTTGGGGAGCCGTGTCATCTGCTGGTGTTGGTCCACTGTGCTTCATTAAGTCCAGAGTCAACACAGCCGTCTACCAGCAGATTTTGGAGCACTTCATGCTTCCTTCTGCAGATGAGCTTTATGTGGATGCTGACTTCATTTTCCAGCAGGACTTGGCACCTGCCCACACTGCCAAAAGCACCAAAACCTGGTTCAATGACCATGGGATTATTGTGCTTGATTGGCCAGCAAACTCACCTGACCTGAATCCCATAGGGAATCTATGGGGCATTGCCAAGAGAAAGATGAGAGACATGAGACCGAACAATGCAGAAGAGCTGAAGGCCGCTATTGAAGCATCCTGATCTTCCATAACACCTCAGCAGTGCCACAAGCTGATAGCTTGTATGCCACGCCGCATTGAGGCAGTAATTGCTGCAAAAGGGGCCCAAACCAAGTACTGAGTACATAGGCATGCTTATACTTTTCAGAGGTCCGATATTGTTCTATGTACAATCCTTGTTTTATTGATTGCATGTAATATTCTAATTTTCTGAGATTGTGGATTTTGGGTTTTCATGAGCTGTAGGGCATAATCATCTCAATTATGACAAATCACGGCTTGAACTATCGTGCTTTGCATGTAATGAGCCTATCTCATATGTTAGTTTCACCTTTTAAGTTGCATTACTGAAATAAATGAACTTTTACACAATATTCTAATTTTTTGAGTTTCACCTGTATAATAAAATATTATTATATGTTC